TCCTTTCTTTTTATGGCTGAGTAATACACCACATCTTCGTTATCTGTTCATCTGTCAATCCACTCCCCCTGGCATCCCCACGCCTTCTGGCATGCAGATGTCAGGAACTGATGAATGCGAACGACCGCTAAGCCAGGCATTTCTGTGCTTGATAATAATGTTAAGCCTGCAATGGTCACCTGTTAATCTTAAAAATGAGAATGAGGACTATTTTCTCTGAGAATGAAACTAAGTGTTCCTGACAGTGCTCTAGGAAACCACTTTTATTACTTGGGAAGTGTACAGATGCTTCCAAGAACTGTGAACTACTGACCTCTTAGCATTACTACTTCTGAAATTAGATTTCTACTGTGAGTTATATTCAAATAAATTGAAATTTGGCTATTCTAGTTGCTACCTCATTTCTAGATTTACACAAAAGCTGCAAGGACAGGACTCAGCCCCCTTAACGCCCCTTACCCTGCTCCCCTGTGGCCAACCTCTCACAGGACACTAGCACGTTTGTGCAGAACACTGGGATTAGCTCCTAAACCTCGGCTTCAACTCTGATCTCACTGAGCTGCCCACTAACACCCCTGCAGGGCCTCACAATGCATTTACTCATGTCTCCTCTGTGTCGTCTGGCTGGGACAGCTTCGTGACACTTCTGGACCATTCCTCAGGTTGGCTTTGACTGTTTGGTTTTACTGGTACAGTGTTTTTAAAGATGTGTCTCCGGCACTACTAGGATCAAAGAGACAGAAACTTAAAATATCTTGTAAATTATTCTTAGTAACTTAGGCACACACATCTCCTGTTCTGTTCTGTCATCCATCATGGCTTACTTAAGTTCCATCAAATTCAACGAGGTACTCTCAATATGAGCCTTTGGGGAAAGCAAGTATTAATGGATCCGGCCATTCCACAGGGCTGCTCTGGATGAAACAAGAAGCTGACATGAGTTTCCTGTTAGTGGAAGTTTTGCTGGCAACAGTTTGGAAGAAAGGACCCTGTACCGCAGCTGTTCCCGCCACATGGGAAGGACTTGGGCGGCAATCAGCGTGGTGCTGAAGATGTTTATGCAGGAGGTAAAGAAATGTTGGTCTATGGAAATGAACTACTGATTGAGTATTTAAGAAGCCAAGCAGACTTTACGTGTACAAAATTACATTAGAAAGCAGGTGGGAAGTGAGTTCTGCTGAACTCAGGTGAGAACCACTCGATGAATCTACACCTACACCAAGCAGTAGCTACAAATTCTCTTCTCCCCGGCTTGCAATGAAATCAGCAGCGACTGAACTTCTCAAAACACAACTGCTCTTTATTTGGTTCAGGGCAAGTTTTCTCAAGTTCCCCACGGTCGGCGCCTCCCGTTCTGCTCCCGTGGAAGCCACAGCGCCCAGGCCCCAGCACTGCACATCCCTTACCCGCCCCCAGCACGGCCTGCCTGCAGCCTGTCCTCCGTGCCCTGAAAGCCGCACAGTGAGCAGGCCCGTGGCCTGCTGGGAGAGCCACTGCGGGGCTCAGCTGCCCTGACACCAGTGGCAGGACAGGGAGGCCAGGCATCGGGACAGATCCGAGGGACAGCCTGCAAGAGGCCTGGAGGGACGAGTCCAGTCAGGGAAGGGGGCTCGTGTGCAGTGAGGCAGGCGCGGAGCGGCAAGCGTGCGGGGCTCTCGGAGCTGCTCTCCTGAGCGGGCCTTCCCTACACGGCTCCCCACTAACTCGGCTCATCTTCCCAGTTGCTCTTCAAGCTGTCCACTCGGTCACCCAAGTAAAGTCTACCTAACATTACCGAGTGCCAGGCACCATGCCAAACACGGCATCATCGGGGCCCTCGTGGGTCTTAAAATATAGTGGAGGCAGACAGACAAAATGCAGCCAAGGAAATAACTGTGAATACGAATTTGAGAAAGTAAAGATTAAGATCCTGAGCAAGAGGGCGCCTCGGTGGCTCAGTGGGTTAAATGTCTGCCTTCAGCTCCAGTCATGATCCCAGGATCCTGGGATCAAGCCCCGCATTGGGCTCCCTGCTCGGCGGGAAGCCTGCTTCTCCCTCTCCCACTCCCCCTGCTTGTGTTCCCTCTCTTGCTGTGTCTCTGTCAAATAAATAAAAAAAAAATCTTAAAAAAAAAAAAAAAAAAGACCCTGAGCAGGGTCCTGCAAGAGGAGGATGGGCCTCCGGCTGTCCCTGGGGTGCTGAGGACACTGTGCGAGGCCAGGTCTGGGAGAGCCGGCCACGGGGACGGGGTGCTGGGGGAGGCTCAGGCCTGTCCCCCCACGGACCTCCTTGGGCGCTGTGGGTCACCTGGGCTACACTTGCACCAGGGTGCCTGTGACCTGTGCCACAGGGCCCCGTTTTGAGTATGAGCATCCTTTTCAATGTAGAGTGATTTGTTGGGGCTCCCAAGCAACAGCAGTCACAGCTCTGGTGACAACTGCTCATCAGCCCACACACAGTTTTGAGGAGACTGCCAGAACCGAGAGGCTGCCCTGGGGCTCACACTGGAGAGGGCTCAGCACACTACTGACATAGGCAAGCCGTTTTCACATACTTTCCGGCTTTTTAATTTCAAATTGGTAGTGCATTTTTCTGTTTGGTGAAATGTAAATTTGCTAAAGAACTGTGTCTTCTACTTGTGTGAACGCCTCCTTCCCACCCTACCAGCCAGCAAACTGCAGATTCATGCCCAGGGGCGTCCCTTCCACTCGAGGATCTATCTTCCCAGGCCTTCTCGGCACCACAGCACGACTCTCCAGGTCAAACCGAGTCTCCTGTCCTCCCAACTCCAGGAGTACAGCCAGCCCACACCTAACAGCCCTCCAGGAGGACACAACCCCACCACGACCCTCACGTACCTCCAAACACCCTGGATTTCTCCTGCAACCCCTCCCACCCCGCCAAACTTCACTTAAAGCTCTTGCCTCTGTCTGCCACCCCTGGGCCATGTCACTCATGCCAGTGGTCTGGGAACTACCCGGCCCACCCATTGCTGTGCGTGGCCTTGACCATCTGCTTGGAGCACACTGGAGGAGCTGGTTCCCCACCGGTTCACTCCAGCCTTTCGTGAGTAGCCCAGGACACTTGGATGAAAATAAAACAGCAGGATAGCGACACTAGAGAAAGAGCCCGAAACATCACAGAAGAGTATACTTCTCCTCTGCTCTTAACTGTGTTTATTACATTTGTAGAGTGCTTTATACTTTAAAACAAACACTTCCATATTTGCTTCCCATTAGATTACTGAGAAGCTGTGTGAGCAAGGGAGGCCCTTACTACCTCCTCCATGACACTCGAGCAAGCAGCACCCAGAGCCTGCACACAGGGCCTTTGTCATCTGGCATTTGGCAAATTGTACCAACACTATGACCCAATAATAGGCCATGGGACATAGTCGACAGTATGTAAGGAACAAATAGTAACAGCACAATGGCCAAGAAACTCTTGTGTAGAAATGATTAATGCAGGGGCGCCTGGGTGGCTCAGATGGCTAAGTGTCTGCCTTCGGATCAGGTCATGATCCCGGGGTCCTGGGATTGAGCCCCGAGCCAGGCTCCCTGCTCAGAGGGGAGTCTGCTTTTCCCTCTCCCTCTGACCCTCCCCACCGCCTGTGCTCTCTCTCAAATAAAATCTTAAAGCAAATAAATAAATGATTAATGCAATAACAACTGCTGGACCTGGTATTTTATCGTTATGAGTAAGAAACTCGGTGCTCCTTCTCCTCTTCATACTAGGTAACACCTAGTGAGTTCTGTGCTCATTGTTCTCAGACTTTATATTTATGAATTCATTAATCCTTGTATGAAGCCCAAGTGTTAGAAAGTGGTTTCATCCCCACTCTACAGATGTGGAAACTAAAATACAGTAAAATTAAGTAACTCGGTCAAAGTCCCATGCGATTCATGGTGATGAACTCAGAATTTTCACCAAGGCAGTGTGACTTCAGAGCAGGTTTTCTGGACCAATACGCTACATTCTCTTGTAACATACATTTTAGCCTGCTTGGATGGTCTTCCATGTGACTATACTGGTATAAAACACCACCTTTGTGATAGAAAGAGCAGCAATGGCCACCACTTACATAGACCGTGGTAAGTAACATACATAATTAATCTGTTTTTTTTTTTTTTAAAGATTTTATTTATTTATTTGACAGAGAGAGAGAGAGCACAAGTAGGCAGAACAGCAGGGAGAGGGAGAGGAAGAAGCATGCTCTCCGCTGAGCAGGGAGCCTGACGTGGGGCTCGATCCCAGGACCCTGGGATCATGACCTGAGCCGAAGGCAGGCGCTTAACCGCCTGAGCCACCCAGGCGCCCCCATAATTAATCTGTTAAATATTCACCCCAACCCTACAAAATACTATTTTCTTCATTGTGGAAATAAGAAACAGGACCAAGGCCATGGGGCTCATAAATGGCAAAGCTCCCATGAGCTGGACTCTATTCTGACGAAAGCCTATGCCCTCCCTCCACACTTGACCATCTTGGCACGTGCTCTGGTTTGGCTGGAAACCATACCTCAGAGCCCCGCGGTGTCCCTCCCCTGCGGTTCCCCCTGCAGGGAGGGAGAGAAGATGATGCTCTGCAAAAGTTACCCATAAGGAGGAGTGTCCACGTGGTTGAAACAAGAGAAGAGAGATCTTTACAGTGCACTTATATGTGCACGTGTGTATGCAGACACACCAACATTCAGCTACCACTATGATCTGTTTACATACTGCTTCCTCACTTATGTGTATCAACATACCTGGGACCATAAAGACCTAGGTGACAAAGCCGACTGTGCATGCAACCTTCTTAGTCTTGTACTTAGCTAAGCATCACACATAATCAACAAGTGAAACCGTGGCTTTGTGGGAGAAAGCTGTGCCTACAAAAATCTATTTGCCATTAACACCAGTAAAATAACTACCAGCCTTTTTATATTGTAACTTTTACACGTAAGGGAGAAAACCATATACCACGGGGAGGTATTTACATAACGTGGTCATCTGATTACAATAAAGCAGATTCTAATTACCTTGACAGAATCCAGTAAACTCCTAGGAAAAAATCGCTTCAAACCAACATCTTTTCTGAAACATAAAAAGAAGCGTATTAACAAATAACACCACCAAATCAATTAATATAATGACATTGTTGCAAGAACATAAATGCAATTTAAATTATTTATCCTTCCATGTATTATTCAGGAAGGAAGGAAGCAAAATAAAGCTCCAATTTACCAGCACGGTCAAGGAAGGGGTGGGACAAATCATTTTCTAGATATGAGTAGAAAACATCAATACAAGTAGCTTTCAGTAGAACATCTTTTTCCTGTTTTAACCTTCACTGTTGAAAACCATTCTACAATTGTGCCTCTTGGCAGATGGCAACGCCTGAGTAAACAGTGCTTAAAGGTTTGCCTTATAAACACCAGTTCCTACTGGGTGACATCGTATTTGTAGACACAGCAGACTGGCCAGAGTAGGAAAAGGTGTGGCATATACCATGGAAGCTTAAAAAAAATTCCTTGAATTAATCCTAAAAGTTGACTATTTTTTTTAAGTAAACTTTTTTTGATTAAGGGATTCATTCACCTAACCAAAGTTTATCATCTCAGTTTCACATAGGAAACTAAAAGTGAGAAATTAGATGATTTGCTTAAAGTCAGAAAGCTAAAAGTGTGGAAGGTTGGAAGTCCCAGTGATTTTCTTTAGATCAGGCTACAGAATTGATCATTACTATCACAAGCCTCAAAACACTCTGGCTAAGCAGATAGACCAGAAAGACCAGCTCATTCTTTTCCTACTTCCTTTGGTACCGAGTATGTCGGGATTTTTGGTCACTAGAGGGCCCTCATGTGCTAGTAAAATGAAACAGCCTTTGCAGCCATCAGGGAATGTCCAGAGACAGGTGGAGGACATAAAAGGATCAAGAAGGAGTAAACTAAACAGTGGCATCTTTTCAGAATTACATAAGGAAACTATAAGCTAAATAGAAAATATTTTTAAAAATACAAAAGGGATGACTTCTTTATCCATGACTGTTAAGTTAGCTGGCATTATAAATGAAACTATAGAAATCACATGGAGTTTATATGGTTGATCCCATATCCAAACATTTCAAACCCCTATTCTATAATCTGACTACTAGTTAGTACTTGCTAAATCCAAAACTGGTCTCGGTCCCCATTCTTTTTCATTGTTAGTATGTTCATGACATGCTTCTGAAATTCCTTCTCGACATCCAGGACACACTGTTTCCTGGTTCTACCTACTAGTTAATTCATACAACCCTGGTTTTCCATTTATTTTTCTAACTACTTCGCTTTGTAACTTACCTTTCCAGATCTGCATCATCTACCGTGACTACAGGGTGTCAAAGAAGGAGAAGTGTCCCCCCAGGGTCTTCCCTTTCTTGCTGCCTCCTAAACAGACAGGGACTTTGCATTTAAGGGTTTGGGTGCTAGCCACTGTGGGAAGCAGCACATTAAGCACGTAAAGAGAAACAATCTAGAATTTTTAGGCATAATTCCTGAGCACTGTCTCCCCTACTTTCCTTTCTGGGCAACTGTTCCATACTAAAAAGCACTTCATACAGAGAGCTCTGGGCTGGAATCTTCACTTAGCCACAGGATGGATCTGGCTATTACTAAACACCTATAAACCTGAGGTTATCTATTTTTAAACTGGGAATGCTAAATCCTGCTGCAAACAGTGATGCTGAGGATGAAATAAGAGTGTGTTAAGTCCCTACAACTCTTTCCTCCAGAAATACCGTAGGTGTCCTCCTGTCCGGTGAGAGTTTGGTCCACGTGCCTGGCTCCCTGTTGTTTGAGCAGAGGGAGGTGGGACTCTTTCACCATAAGCAGCAGAATATACAGTGGGGGTGGGGGGAGGATAAAACCAGAAGAGCAGGTGGGAGGAAGGCTGGCAGGTGCCCAGGGAAGAGGTGGTGGGAGGGCAGGTAGCAGAGGAAGCGACAAGGGAAGAGATTCAAACCTGTGGAGCGCCCAATGACTGGACACGTGTGAGAGCACTCCATGCACTGAGAAGGGGAGGCTGGGGCTGGGATCTCTTTCAGATGTGTGGGGTACAAGCAAGGTGTACGTGGCCTCCTAGTGGGAATTTCAAGGAGGCAGTTGGCCCCCAAAATGGATGAGGGGGAAGACCAGGGCAGGGGTCGTCCCCTTCCCAACTGTGAGACCAGCGTCACCATTAGTCAAAGAGGTAATGCATCTACTTTTCTTAGAGTCAAGTGGAAAGCAAAGAATTTATCACACTCACTTCTGTCACAAATGGGGAAATTAAAGATTGACCCAAAGGGTTGTATGTTTCATGAATAATGAGAGAGGGCATACTTCTGTGAAAACGAAGCCTATTTCTAGGTGTTACTTTTATTTCCAAGATGAAGACAGCTCCATTTGGGGGGGAAAAAAAAAAGCTAAGGTCAGCTAATGCTGGCAAGTGTACAGTTTAGTTTTTCTATTTTTGAGCAATGGATTTATAACATTTGTCCCTATCTTAGACCTCTTTTAAATGTGACACCTGGGGCACCTGGGTGGCGGCTTAGTCGGTGAAGCGTCTGCCTTCGGCTCAGGTCATCATCCTGGGATCCTAGGATCGAGCCCCACGTCAAGCTCTCTGCTCAGTGGGGACTCTGCTTCTCCCTCTCCCTCTGCCCCTCCCCCTTCCACTCATGTTCTCTCTTACCCGCTCTGCTTTCTCTCAAATAAAATTTTTAAAAATCTTTAAAGATTTTTTTAAAAATCTTTTAAAAAATGTGACACCTGGCAAGTAAGAAACTAAAAATGAGGCTAAAGTATGCAAAATCATTGGAATAATTCAACAACAACACATATCCATTAATCAGAAAGCCAATCTACTTTAGGCTTCCTGGTGGAGGACAGTGAGGAACCCCAAGGAGCACCTTGGGTGCTGTGTTCACAGTTTTAGGGAGAGCCTATTACAGACATCCAAATTTAAACCCTCTCCTAGGACACCCAGCAGGGACAGGCAGCCTGTCCCACTTTCAATGTGAGGCCGCCTCTCTGAGCTGTGTGTGTCTGGCACTGGGTGACGGCGTGCCCTCTGATGTGTAGCAGTTGAGTTTTTAGCTTCTTGTGCCATAAAACTCATCTGAGCCCAAACTCTACACAAGTGTGAGATGATGTGAATCAAACACTAAAAACTACTTATATGTCTTCCACAAAATACAACTACTGGCCTTTATTATAATGTAATTCTTTACTATACAAATACTTGTCAAGGGGTAGATCCTAAATTCACGTAAACTCACTGGACAAAAAACTAGCTACATGAAACTTTTAGAACACGGCCAAACCCCAATTCCAAAATTCAAGCATTAGGTTGCTCGATTCCCACGCATTCAAAGGAAACGTCCAAACCCACACACAGCTGACAAGCTACTAGCACCAGGTGAGAGCCGCACTGTTCACTGTGTGACCACGTGAGGCAATATATACTTAAGTTAGCTCAGACTAATCTAACAATCCAGTTCCCTGGCATGGTGGCTACATGTCAGGGACTCAGCGGCCTCACATGGAGAGGGGCTGCCTTGCAGACCAGGGAGGAGAGGACATTCCCGCCACGATGGGACGCTGCGCTGGGCTGCAGCAGGGAATCCAGGACGGCAGGCACCCTGACTCTCCAGGGCTCAGGGCCGTGGCTCGAGGGCTCCTCAGTGAGCGGAGGGGTGAGCGGAACGGACGGACGCTGGGTACGGCTGCCCACCCAGCACAGCGACCACAGGATGACCACGCAGCGTTCCGACCCCTGGGACGAAGCCCTGCAGCCGGGAGGAGGGCGTCCCAGGATGATGTGGCAGCAGCAGGGCGGCGGACCTCCAAGCTTTGCTCCTCCATGTCTCAGGGCTGACCACCGGCTTCCGGGCCTTGCCCTTCCACAGCCCACTCCCGACGGAGAGCTGTCCAGGTGAGGAGGCGGCAGTCCTCACCACCTGCAGCCTCTCCCTGCCGCCCAGGCTCTACCACATAGCAGGATGAACTCTCCAGAGTGCACCAGCTCCTGCCTGGAGACTCCCAGCCTGTGGCCTTGTCCTGCGCACGTGCATCCAAGTCCACTGACCCCTAACCCAGCAGGCTTGGGAGACCGGAGTACGGAATAAGCTTCAGTCTAAGTAAATTCTTATGTCAAAGATAAATTTATTTTCCCTTTGGCACCACTTCTGAGAAGACCCTGGCCTTGTCTGTTGGCTTTGGGTAACTAATGCTCTGTGGACATAATTCTTCAAAGATTTAAAGCCCAGGCAAAAAAGCAACCGAAACTGATGTTAAAATACAACCAAAATGTGCGTTTTCAGACAGCATCCCTACCTTATCCTTGCCCTGAAACTCTGAAGTATCTTTAATATAAACATACCGCTGAGATATTTAACTTCTGAAATACCTTAAGCCTCTTAAAACTGATAAATATGAAAAGTCTCTGACGGCAGTACAGACTGCTACGCACCTCTGAATGGCACTCTCTCCCTCCTCCTGGGTAATAAGCAGCGGTGTTCTGGCCAGGCACAGTACTAGGTTCCTCTGCTGTATGTAGCCAGCTGTGGCCATGTGACTAGACTCAGCCCATGTCCCTCTAGGGGAAAGTACTATGTACACACCTGTGTCCTTGCAGGGAGGGGGAAAGAAGGACGGTGCCCATTTCTTCCTCCTCTGGGAGGCTGGAATACAAATGTGACAGGTAAGGTCCACCAGCCATCCTAGGTCACGGGGGGCAGGGCATGCTATGGATGATGGGATGGCAAGATTAAAGAGGCCTGGCACTCTGGGGGCGCCTGGGTGGCTCAGTCGTTAACCATCTGCCTTAGGCTGAGGTCATGGTCCCGGGGTCCTGGGATCGAGCCCCGCCATCGGGCTCCCTGCTCCACGGGAAGCCTGCTTCTCCCTCTCCAGCTCCCCCTGCTTGTGTTCCCTCTCTCACTATCTCTATCAAATAAATAAAATCTTAAAAAAAAAAAAAAAGAGGCCTGGCACTCTGGTGATGAGGAACGGTGACTGCCTAGGATTTGTTTTGTATTAAAGAGAAATGACCTTTTATCTTAGTTAAGCCAC